GGGCGTTTGGTGTAATGTGGGTCCTCCAGACCCGACCTCAAACGAACAACGAATTACAAATTAAGGAGGCCTCATTCACACCGTGCCGAGCGGTATGGATTTTCTTATGATGTTTGTGCAAGTTTTTTTGTGGTTATTTTATGACGGAGCTGATGCTGCTCAGCTGGTATAGTATAAATGAAAGAATCGTCTATTTAGTTACAAATAGTATAAGGTACAGACGGAAGAAAATACCCATTTCCATGATAGTACAGTGTACCATGATAAGTTGTGCGATAATTTCTTCATTTGTGAGGTTTTATTGGGTCATTCTTGTTCTTGATCGAATTAATAACTAGCATATTTTGGTTCTCTTGCCAAGAGAATAAAAAACCAGACAATCTGAGACATACCAGACCTATTTAATTTTATTTAATTTTCTGTACCAATGATGTCACGTAAATGACTTTTCTAATAATGTTGTTATTCAATAAATAATTAAAACAAAGTGCAAAATAAACAAGTCAGTGAAGGAGATCACGGGCAAAGGTTTTCTGAGAAATATGGTGTATTTTTTTGTTCGTAATAGAAAATGATCATTTCATTGTCTTTATTACGCTTCGGTGTAAATTATGATAAGCACGAGGGTCCACTCTCTATTAATTTGGGGGCGATTTAAAATTAATTTCGCGGAAATCCAATTTTTTCTCCGAGGAAATATCAAATCGGTTGACACCTTCAATTGAATCATAATTAGGGCGACCCAATGGTTTGTTTTTGTTTCAGTTTTGGGTGTTCGGAGACTGATGAGAATGTAAGTAACTTTATAACAAAGTCTCTTTTATTGAAGAAGTACTTACTTGGTATAAGGAATAATTAAGGAATTAATTTATGTCTACGAGTAATTACTCAAAGGACTTTATAAAAGGCCGTTTCGTAGTATAAAGCCAATCATATTTAAAGGTAAAGCGCTTAAATCAATAACCTAAGACGTGTTCGTTACCATGAAAGTTTTAATTAAACAATAGATACCTATAGTCTTCGAGAATCCCGTTAAATCCTAGTTCGTTTGTTATTCCGAAACTCTGGCGTAGTTTTTCAAGCGAAAATTTAAAAAATAGACGAGTCATTTTCCGTTAAAATTTCGACTGAGGTGAGGAGAAAATCGAAAGCTCGCCGAAGGCTTTATTTCAGTTTGCGGCAGTTATTTGGAGCTTTGTAGGTCGGACAATATTGACATAACTGGTCTGGACTTTCAGCAGTTTCAGCCTAGGCAGTAGAAGGCCTATTTCGGTTACTTTGATTAAGTTTGCAGTTCAAGATTTTACTTTGAAAAGTTTGAAAAGTTTGTATGGCACCATTTTCGGCCGTTAACCCCTTGTGGTAAGCTAAAATGCTTATGTTACGAGTGGATTCACCACAATAATCGAGTGGCGGTAGGTATTGACCCCGTGTTCCTCGGATATCGAGTCATACAGTCTGACCCTCTCGAATCTTTCTTCACGCTCAAAAATAGTTTTAGAACTAGGAGAAAAGTTTTTGAAAACGTAACTCGCTCTTCATCCTATACAGACCAAAATTTTTCAAATTTCAAAACCGCGAGCAATAGCTATTATGGCTAGTATTGTCCATCTCACATGATTCGATGAAGATAATAAACTGACTGATAAAATCCAACATCAGACTACAATGTTCACCCTTACTCTGATCAGAATTAGCATGTTACGTAACTCCAACCCTTAGCTGTCCCGCCCCTCAATATTTATCAGGTGTGATACTCCAGGCAGGGGCGGGCTCGGTGAATAATTTACAAGCTCAGCCTCATTAGGCCGCGCTGCATTTTTAATTGCGTCACTGAGACCCCGTCCTTGGTACGTACCTGTAATTTGATACTGGGTGTAAGTACGATGTAATTTTGTATTATTTACGTGACTAGATTGCGATTGAAAGGATGGCTTGTCAAAAAAGAGCTTGATATCATCAGGTCTTTTATCTTTAGTGTAGGAAAACGACTCTCTCAAAACCAAGTGGCAAGAGGCAAGTGGAGGATTTGACGCTGGCCAGACGGGTTGGGTAGCAGCCAGAGTAGAATAGGACCATCCCAATTTTTCTGGTAGATGTTCAAGGCGCCTATGGAACAAATATGGGAACACCAGGCTTGCCAACCTAACTGGCCAGCATGAAGAGTGTACGCTATTTTCATTTTCCTCTAGTAATTAGGGTTGTACTCCTGCAGTGCTCCTCCTCCTCTTATCAAGACACTCTTCCAACTCCCATTGACCTCAAGATCTTAGAAATTGTATCACGCTGTATTGCGTTTTGCTTATCGCGTGAAAACTGTAAGAAACAACAAAAATGTGCCAGGCCTCACAGGCTTAAACTGCAGCGTGAAAATGACTCAACTACATAATCACCGCGCCGAGTGAGGCCACAAAAAGGTGTTGACCTGAATCCGGCACTCGACTCCACAAAGCGTGTGAGGAGCGAGCGGTCATTAGAGGAAGCGGGTGGGGCCATTAACACAGCGATTTGATTTTTATAATCGACTTCAAAAGGAGAAAGTTCTCAATTTGTCAGTATGATTTTCTTTAAATATGGGTTAAAATTGCTTTGCACGCATTTTTCATTCTTCTTTTTAAATTATTCTTAGTTGTAGTTTTAAAACAATGGCTTCTTCAAAGCATTCGAATACTTTTAATGCAAGCATCAGGGGAGATGCTGAATCAATGTACTTCACCTATTTGTGTAATAAATTATAATGTGATTCTCAGTATGAGAGCTCAAATTTATTATGTATCGTAAATGTCTATCTCAAAAACAAAAATCTTACTTCTTGAAAATAATCTCAATGACAATATTGAGAAGAAATGTATGAACATTACCACAGTATTAAGTACAACAAACGTTAAACAGAACTTTCTTTTTTACGTTTTAGTGTAAGTGGTGAAAACATTACAGTAAAATATTTTATGTTTATCCGATATCAGAATGTATGACTCCAACAAAATTCTGGTATGTGTAAGCCTTAATATTAGTCATACTTAGAAGTAAAGGTAGACACACATTATGAGCAATGCCGTGTAACGTGATTTCCTTCTGCGTATCAACGTTCATCACTAAAAGATAAATTAGTAAAAAAATAATGACCAACGACCAATGCTGAGGTTAAAAAAAAATCACATTTCAAGCTACATATCAAGGGTTCAAGTTTCACTTGAGACAGTTAATTTAAAAAAAGTTAAAATTTATTTTCATTGCACAACTTACTGTCAGACATCTTACATGTAAACAAATGTAATAAATTATTATGTGATATGTAATTAAGTATTCATGAACTTCATATTTCAAACAAACATAGCAAAAGGTCATAGGTCATGTTGAAGTCCTTAGAAAAAGTTTGACTTTAAAAATACTTATTTACATTATAGTATATTCTAGTCGTCATGTCTGTTCATATTCGTTTTGGCTGACTCTATATTCGTTACAACTGACTACCCAATTGTGTGCCCACCTTAACCACTTTCACATGACTGTAATGCCTCGTACGCGTTTATGTCCCACCATTATAACTATCAGCTACTGAACTTATCGAGTGTCATGTTAATGCTACTTTGTCATTAGTTAGAGAAATATAGAGATCATTCTTTATGATTTATTGAAGGTTTCTGTGATCGATTTGTAACTCAAGAAGTGGTGATAGGTTTGATTTTTGTAGCAGGTTGATAAAATAAGATTAATAGTGATGTTATTACAAATAGTGCGTCGTAAAACTAGAAAAGATGCCACAGTATGTAGTTAGTTTGGCCGTTGCATTATCTGTAATATTTCAAAAGAGTCTATTGTAATAAAACACAATTCTAACAGTTCCAGATCAAATCGATCAACGAGGAGATTCGTTGTATGGAGACCGCGTATGAAACTTGGCACATGATGAAAATAGGTAATCGCCAGTTCTGTTACTTGAACTTGGCTGGACACGCTACCACATATCTAGATACAGATTATAATTTATAGATATTGTAAATATTGTATCCAACAACTTTTATTACGAGAAGTTCGGCATTTTTATCTAAAANCAGCTATGCTAATTTCGGCCAAATTGACTAGAAGACTCTCATGGCATTATCTTCGCTTACTTTATAGTATGCTATAAAGTTTTAAATTGATAATTAAACATTGAAATGCCCAATTAATTACGATTATGTATGTACCTAGTTTACTTTAGAACATAAAAAAAAACACGATAAAATTGCTATTCTCGTTTATTTATATCACAAAGTATAAAATATTTACATCTAATTTTTAATAAGTCTACAACTTGGTTACTCACAAGGTATTGATTTTATTTGAGAGATGGCATCTGCTTAACTCACTAGCAAATGTTTCTATCACAGTTTAATATTTTTATATCATTAATTTTAAACCATAGTTTAATGGTTTTATTCATTACTTGCATTAGTAATAATAATAATAATAATAAATCTTTATTTTACTCACACAAAAAATCGAACAGAATTACATAGTGAATGTATAAGATACGTTTGATGTTCATTCTCGTGTGAGTCTGATGCCTATGCTAGGTATTTAGTATACCTGTATTACAGGTCATCAGGCTCCCACCACCTCAGGTCCATTAGTAGATAAGTATTAATAAACCTACATGTAGTACAGGTTGTTTAGGTTTAGACTATAAGTAACTATCCGACTGTAGAAGGGGGTTACGTTTATGAATTATCTGAGGTATTTATTTACTGAATCCAAGGTTTCTCAAAACTGTTACTATGATCATGAATGTTTTCAGTGATTAAGCATCCAACAAAGCAATTTTCTAGAATGTTTCTTTAAGGTCAAAAATTAATAAAAACTAACCTGTTTAAGGGTTAACTTATGACGTTCAAACCAAATAAAAAACCAATCTATGCATTCTTGCTCTTGCCCTATTAGTAAAATCTAATAGCTTTGTTTAACCCTAAATTACTTGAGCTTTGTACAATGTTACCACTAATACGGTCCAGTAGACCCTATCGATTGTTATTGTCTATCCTTTGTGGGCAGCAGGCTGGGTAGGGCTCGGAAAGGTTGCCCATCCTGAAGAAGCCGGGGTCGTTGTCCGATTGACAGCTGGAAATTTAAAAAAATCTAGTTAATATAGTTTTCAGCTCTTGACAAAATAATAAGAGAAATAGGAACTACTGTCCAAAAATATTTGAAGGTAATAATGTACATAATCTGATTAGATTAAGCTTTGGTATCAAAACACTGTTCATAGGTAAAACGATATACGGAAAACTTATTGAAAGCATGTATTAATATGAAGCGTAAAAATGAAACGAAGAAATAACTTCAAAAATGTTCAAATCAATAAGTGATTTTTCTGAAAACTTAAAAGACAAAATATATTTTATCACAATATCGTGGTAAGTACAAAGTTTAAATAATTTATTATACAAAATTAACGATAAACACTTACGTTGTTTTCTCAATAAACGCCTCATAATCTTCTTCAATTTCTATTCTTTCTTCTTTGGCACCAGTATCTATGCTCCTTCTCTCTCTGTGTAACTCATCCAACTTCACAACTTTACCCACTCTTTCTAACTTCACCTTTTTCCTTAGCGAAAAAGGTTTGAATAATTTTGCCTTTTCTTCAAAATGCGCTCTCACCTCTTCCAAAACCTTTGCTGGTAACGGATCTGTCTGCCATTCTGGCTTTTTATTATGAAGCTTACCATTCAACAAGCTTTCAAGTAATTTGCTATCTAAAATGTTAGCTTTTTCCTCCTCTGTTTTTGCTTTGAAATCAGTTTTGGGTTTTGTTTGTTCTTTATCAGGTTTTGTGTCTGTATCAGCTATGGTGTTGTCTGGAGTCAGTTCATTGTTAGTCTTTGGTGGTACATTATTCTTGTTGTTGACATCAAATCGAGCCCATGGGTTTTCAGCGTAATTTATATTGAAAGGANATGTGTCATAATTTATAAATAAAACAATTTGCTAAATATTTTCATGGCTTTATTTAAGATTTGGATTATAAAAAATATATGTTTATGTAAGCAACTACTCGTATAGATTGACGAATCGTATGATTGGGCTTTATACGTGGCGTAGTTTTGCACATACGCCTATTTGCCTAAAATTTTATTTTGTATCTAATGGAAAAAAAATTTTTTTTTCTTACTGATGTTATAGATTAGAGCAAAGTGAAATCATTGCTTAAATAATTGGAAAAAGGCGTAAGCGGCAGTTTCGCCCTTATACGTAGGAGCCATCGATATCGCGTTTTCTATAAATTTAGGTAGGTAATTAATTAATTTTACAATTAAGTTAAGAACAATTTATAAATCAATTAAACGTCGCCTCCTTGAAAATTCAAACTTATAATTTCGGTTTCGATAATTCACAAAAAAAAGGTTTTTTCTAACAGACTGCGTAATATTTATAAATTAACTAGAGTTCACGATGATTTGCCCATATTGCATAATATTTTTGTTGCTTGTGTAATGTGCATGTAATTATTGTGTTAAAATATCAAAGTCATTAAAATTGGCTCGGCGATTAACACAAACGTTTGTTTACCTATTTAGACTGCTACATTAGCATTTAATACTAGACATGTGTAGTCGCTTGCTAAACACTGTAACTACCAAAACTTCTCACCTTAAGGGTCATAGCAGACTTATCAACTCGGAAAGGGATCAACACTGTATCGCCTTTTGCGCGCTGTCAACCCCGAGGCGAGGCGTTTACGTTACGGTGCGAATAATGCCCGTATTCACTATTACTCTCAGTGTGCGCTTGGACGCACAAGACACACGAACCAATCACAGAGCTCTATTCAACGCTGTGGTTTCGATTTGCTGTTTCACTTAAGCAAGCATCGTTTGTGAATACGGGCGTAAAGCCTTGATCACACGTAACGAGCAAACGGGCGAGACAGTGCTCTCGGCCGAGTACTCGGTGTTTATGAACATTATACGCCGAGTGCTCGGCGATGCGCTCGAGTATGTGACTCGCTCACCCAACTGTCTCGACCGAGTAAACATTTTACTGTCTCGTCCGTTTACTCAGTACCTATGTGTGATCAAGGCTTAAGTGTGCGTTGCAGTATGGGGATTCATAAAAAGAATACAGACCGCCTCGAATCGTAGCCGTATCAACACGGCTACGATTCCTTTCCGTGTTGATAAGTGTGCTCCGTCCTTTAGGCCCGCCCTTTCCTGTACGATGAAACGTGAACACGTTGCTCCCTGTTTGAACAAGTCTTGTCCTGTTGGATTTATGATAATTTGGTTTCCTCACCCGTCGCATTCCTGTTTATTCTGCGTGTGGATTGTTGGGTCCCGTATGTCTTAGATTTTATGTGAAGCTTTAATTGATTCCAGTTTTTGTGAGGGTTAAACAGTGGGAAAAGGAAACCACTGCCTACTGATGCTTCTGTGGTGCATAATCTTTTCTTAAAGGTTTTAAACCTTTGTTTGTCACCTGTCATCCGCTTTGCAATGGAGGGAAGTCGAACCTTAATTTCGAACTCCTCCTATGTTCTTCTGATTAATTTCGTTCCGGGTCCAATGACAGTTTAACTTTCCCCCGGGACAAACTTGACCTTCATTGGTTGGGTTTTTGTGGCGGTCAAGCTGTAGAACCTGGCTACACAGGAGTTGCAGTGGTGGGAACGAGAGGTGGGAATAGTCCCGTCCGTACTGATGCTTCTGTTATCTTCTGATACATTTCTCATCATCATTTGAACTGAATTTCATCACTGTGGTGTATAAAAAGTGAGGTTAAGATACATTGTACAAAATTGTAATTGTTATCGCAAAATACATTATGTGGAGTTTCGATACCTAATCGAAAGCCTCGGACTGCCTAAGGCGGGAATCGAACCCACCTTTCGCATGCCGGGCGACTGCTCTTCCATATAAGCTACTTAATGCTAAAATTATAAGTAGATAGGTATACCTATGACGTCCGTCCATGCTTAGTTAAAAGACTTAGGCTGGGTTGCACCATCATAATTTAACTTTGACAAACGTCAAAAATCTGTCAAACTCTATACAAAAACACCGGTTATCGTTATAGTTACGGACAAATTTAGGTGGTGCAACTCAGCCTTAAAGATATCTTCTCTGAAATCATAAACAAAACAATTGGACGGCGAACTTACAACGACAAGTCATAGTCATAGACAATAACCGACTTATGGCACCGACTATAAATAAAATATTTTCTAACGTTTAATGAACCGAACACAAAGCCTTGTGAATTATGCCCAAACATAATTCATTGTTTGTGAATACAATAGATTTTAACAAGATATAATAGGCACAATTACTGAGGCTGGAATTTCATTACGCTTCCGTGTGACCCCCACCGGTTTTCAATTTATAGTCCGGGAGGCCGTGACTAAAATACTTGAAGTTTAAAAAACGAATAAAAATAATAAAAGTAACCTACTAACTTATAGATAGATATGTCATACTTACTTTATTGTACACTGTTTAAGACACATAATATAAGATGCACAAAAGAGACGTCACAATAAAATTTTGGTGATATTATGGCGACTAAGCGATCTCTTCCAAACAACCTAGAGGACAGACAGTTGACCTAGATCATGAAATAAAATTTTATCTTTCAACAATTTTAGGTACATTTTTAATTAAAGTAGTTAGGGATTCTAGTAATTTTTTATTGCACTCTTCAGTATTCACCATTTAGTGTGCAAGAAAGTTAATAGAAAGATAATGAGATAAAACATTAAAAGGTCATTTATTTCCTGCAAATAGGCTATCGAAAAGCGCTTTTGTAAGTCTCAGTATAATTTCCACTACTACTCCTTATCACTGCTTCAGGATAACAAGTGGTTCAGTTCCAAGAAGAAGCATATTATGTAGTACTTCGAGATATTACGTAACTAGCTCCCGGACTATCATCGACGGAATGATTTACGTAGTTACAAAATTAAGCCATTGTAACCGTTCCAAGTGTTACAGTTACGGCGTGTAAAACGATATCTTTTGATGTTACTACTATTAAGTCGGTCACAGATGGAATTAAGAACACCTTATTTTGGTGACATAAGGACATAAGTTATTTGATGACTAGAAGTTCTAATTTGGTAATATTGTAGTTGTGGCATTAGTTTTAAGAACCATATTAAATTCAATGCTTTTTGGAAACCCGCTGACTTGGAGTATATTTATTTAGTTTAGCCATGAGAGAGAATAAGCAATGCATAGGTAAACTCTTTCATTATGAAACCCTTCGTTCGTTCGTTCGTTTCAGCCGAAAGACGTCCACTGCTGGACAAAGGCCTCCCCCAAGGATTTCCACAAAGACCGGTCCTGCGCCGCTCGCATCCAGGCACCTCCCGCGACCCTCACTAGATCGTCGGTCCACCTAGTGGGAGGCCTGCCCACGCTACGTCTTCCGGCTTGTGTACCCTACCACAGTTTTAAATGTTTATATTACTTCTGTTTTGGCAGCTATTTCACATTTCTATATCTCATAATATTACAGTAATGTGCAAAATAAATTATGTATTCACTTAAATGTGTTTTAAAAAGACCTTACCATGCAAACCACGAATCGATTTTATTTAATTGGGCAATCTATGTGCAAAGTAAAAATCAAAGCAAAAAAGCTCAATTTCCCTTGTGAAATTCATTACTACACACTTAAATAATGACACACTATCAAACTGTCGTTATACTGTCACAACAGAATCATTGTGTTCACGCATAGTTTCGTCCGACAAAACACGGGTAGTACAAAAAAGGGAACAACTTAACCCTATCAAGGATCAAGGACAGGTAGAGAGACCCTGCTCAAGAATTATCAATGAAGTTGGACAAATATTTCACTTGGCCACAACTCAAGTAGGTCAGACACTACAAATCACTGAGTTTCTTGCGCTACCTACTTAAGGTTCGGCCAAACCAACGCGATCACACGCGATCAGCCGGCGTACAGCGATGGCGACCAGACTTAAATGCATTGATCACCATCGCTGCACGCCGGCTGATCGCGTGTGATCGCGTTGGTTTGGCCGAACCTTTAGTTGTAAAGTTAGTGGGGCTTTGAATTTTAACAAGCTTAAACTTAGGGCTGAGTTGCACCATCTTATTTTAATTATAATAAACGTCAAAAGTGCGTCGAACACCATGCAAAAACACTGATTAAAATTAAATTAGTAATTAAAGATTTTCAGCGGTAACTCGACGCGACATTAAAGCGCCCAGTATTATTTGATAGTTTTTTGAGTTTATTTTTTGTCAGGTTTTTTTTTTTAATTTTAAATTTAATTTTTTCTTGCGTGCAATATAAGGTGCATGCAAGATAGTGCTTGCTGTTCTCTTTATGCTATGCCCCAGTCTCCTCCAAGGATGTTAATCCCTTAATGTCAAAAAACAAATATACGAAACGTACCCTAAAAGGTCGGATTAAGCATGAAATGGGTGTAATATAAAAAGTGGACCGAGGATAAAGATAACTGGCGACAATAATCTTTGGTTTTGGGGACATGATAGTTGGGGGTTTGATAAAAACACGGATTATTATGTTTTGACCTGTGTCTGTGGGTGATCAAAAATGTTGGAAGTCAAAATTGAGATACTACATTATAAATAAATAAATAAATATCCTTGGACATTTTTACACTACGCTTCTAGTCCCAAACTAAGCAAAGCTTGTACTATGGGTACTAGACAACGTATATAAACATACTTAAATACTTTTTTTGTAAATACATACATATTATAAAAAATAGTAAAAAGGAACGATATCCTGACCCGTCTAGCCAATGTCAGTGAGATATCTTGGTGGACTAGACAAAGAAGTAGAAAAAAGCGGTTTTTGTGCACTAAATCACAAGATTCAATCAAAATCCCAAACTTTAATCCAAAAGAGCTCAATTTCCTCCAAAACGTTACTCATTTCGGCGACAACGCTTCAAAAAAAGGCAAAAATTCTCCAATCTCTGCAACTCAAAGGAAACCCATTTCCGAGTGAAGACCGGCGCTCGACATATCTTTATTTGGAGGCGCCGATAAAAAAATAATGTCCAACATTAAGGGAGAACTTAATTTAAATATTTCTGACGCAATCCACCCTCTCTTTCGCACGCAAAGGAGGTGGTATAGCGTTGTTCTTGTCTGGAGGAGCGCGATAAGTTAGAGACGCACCAAGTTAAATGCTTTTTTAAGTGAGCCTCGTGTTTGGGGCGTTTTGGAGAACAGACCACTTGTATTTCAGACGCTGCATATAGTATTTAATTAGCTTAATTTATAGTAAGAGGTCTCCAAGTCATTGTCTGGAGAAACAAAATATATTGGGACAAATGGAAGGCAGACGTGCTTGACGAGATGGTCGGACGCGATGAGGAAGACGGTGGCCGGGAGTTAGCATCGTGCAATCCACACAGCTTATGACCGCAGTCTGTTGAGGGACACTATGAGTGGTCGCGAACTTCATCAATGAGGGGACCGAGGAAATATATAGTAAGAGAAATTCAAAAGCTTTTATAATATTATATTTATTTATTTAATTTATAATGATGCTATAGAGATGGTGCCTCTCTGTGTAAAATCTATTGTATTTATTACAGGCATTATACTGAGTCATACTACACATTACACCTAAGTGATCCATTAGTCACCATCAGATGATTTATATAAATACGTTTATAATTTAAATAAATGCTCGTTTTCTGTCGCTCAGGATAAAAACTCTGTATATCCAAGACCACTCACGTCAACGTTGACAGACATACTTCAATGTTTTTATAATAGCGATTTAAAAAATTAAAATAATATAAAATAAAAGTTAGGTCAGGCCTACCTACTTTTGAAGCTATTGAAGATTTTCTAACCGACGCTTTTTTGCGGTCCAGTGTAGATGAGATTAAAAACATATTATTTAGTGCGGTGTCTACAGCTCTAAGTTGCCTACAACGGCATGTTAGGACTGTTTTTGCTCTAACAAAATGTAACGACTTTTATGGGGTTGCCCCATTAGAACAATGGCTGTTTTATGGGTTCGACCGTCGAATGGCGACGGTAGGTGCTCTAATTTGATAAGTGGGCTGCGATCATTGCGATGGGATATCGTTTGCTAATGAAAGGCTTGGGTGAATTTGGTAATGCTTACTTGAATGTAGCCATTTTGTACCTTTGGGGATGGAGAATTGGACTCTTGTAGGGTTGAGACATTTAGGTTTGTCAAGTTGATAAATAATAAGATGATTCTATGAATCGTAGAGATTTTTTTTACGCATAACAAGGCAGTTATTTGATCACATTCGCAGCTGATGTTAAGTGGGATGCAGTCTAGGATGGTACATATCTGCCCTGTAAGTGCCTATTCCGTCTCGCCTTGAAAAGGCCCGGATTATAGATAGTCTTCGGGAAAGACAGCAGCAGGCAGCGAATTCCAGTCCCTAGCTGTACCTGGAACTGACAATAAATGCTCGATGGACTGACGACTTTAATAAGATAACTAGCAGTGACTTATGTCGACGAAGCGGAAGATCGTGATCGTAGCGTTCTTTGAAGGATTACTTAGTTTAAAGTAGGTTTCTTTCCAGTTTCTCGTGATTCTAAGAAATACGATTCTATGCTAGCTATGGTGAGCACTAAGCTAATAATCTGATTGAGCTATGTTACTAGGATGGTTATTATCACCAGCTAAGGCTGGATTGCTATTATTCATTCCAATCCAAATCCGTCCTATGACTATGTTTTATTGTGTTTTTCATCATAAAATATCATAATAGGTATCCATAACTAGCGGCCGCCCGCGACTTCGTACGCGTGGATCCCGTTTTACCCCCTTAGGGGTGGAGTTTCGTAAAATCCGTTCTTAGTGAGCACCTACGTTCGAAAAGGAACCACCATGTAAAATTTGAGACTCCTAGCACTT